ATCCCTATGGCCCTGGCATCTCCGGCAAGCTCACCCCAGCAGCCTTGGAGAGCCTGACTGGTCAAACACAGTCTGGACTTATGAATTTACCTTGTCTAAACACTGGTTTTGATATAGAATTCTAGCTGACATGGCTGATCACTAGTGATGATCTTTCAGAGCTGTTAAGGCTCAAGAGGTCTTTTGTAGCAGAAGCCACAAAGCTTAGTGAACCACCTGCGCTGTTATCCAATATGGAGATAATCCATCTATTTGCAGGATGTCTCTCAGACGAGTTCTGAAGGCAGGTCGCTAGCACCTTGGCTATTAGGGCCGAAGCAAAGAGACAACCTGTGACAGGCACTAAAGAGCAGACTTAGCACAGAGTAGAGGATCAGCACACATGGAGCAAAGTCATAGATGCTGTGGTCTCTATCGCAGAAACATACCAAAATCCCTTGGGATCAGTAGGACATCTCAGCAGCTTGCTGGGAGTGTCTGACAATCGCGAAAAGACTAGAGCCTCTTCGGATGACTTCTCCCCAAAGATGGAAGAAAGCATAGCACGATTAGCGGACACACTTAACCTGCAATTAAAGCAGCATGTGAAACTAGAGGAGAAAGTAGATTGTTGTATGACTATGGTACAGCAGCAGCAGCAACTGTTAATCCAGCAGCTTCAGAATTCGGCTACCACAGCAATGCACAATGTGGGATACCAGTGTCGAGAGCCTTTCCAGGCAGTACCTGCTGAAGAGAGTCATTGTTATTATTGTGGTGGATATGGACATGAGGTAAAAGCATGCCCCGAGGCCAATAAGCACCTTGATTTGAAAATGACTATGTGAACAGGTGTTGGACAGAAGGCTAGAATAGTTTTGCCTAATGGGCAGCCATTACCGCAAGAAGAGGGTAAAACGTACAAAGAGGGAGTAGAAAATTGGCATAGGAATAATCCTAAGACGGGTTTGATTCTGATGTTGCAGCTTCCTAAGGGTACCTTTTTCTACAAGGCTGAACAGCCCATTGATGTTCTAGTGCAATCACAGACTGGCCACTCAGAAGATTGTTAAAACTTCTATCACATGTCTCAACTTCTATATGGGGTTGGACCACATGACTGCACATGACTGTGTCCTCACATGATCAGGTGACATCACCTGACTCATCCCAAAGTGGTCTAGATCTATCCCCATTCTATCTCATCTTATCTAGATACATCTGTAGATTCATCTGATCTCTGGATCTGCATCTGATCACAGATCAGATCCCAGATCCACTTGGTTACCTTCATCATTCTTATTGTTCCCAGTCTCCATTTGGGTTTCCCTTTGTTCTTTAGTATATATATGACTGCTGTCAGATGCCTAAAGTCCCCAGTTTCTCACTCTGGACTTCAGGCAAGTAGTTTATCTTGTATTATCCAATATGACTAGTTTCTCACTCCGGACTTCAGAGCCTCATATCTCCTCAGTCCTTATCCTGAGTTGCTCATCTTTGGAACACTGTTGCCTTGCGTGTTCCCCTACCTGTCCACACTTAACAGGTTATGGGCCCTGCACTCTAAGCGCTGTAATTTCGTGTTTTTGTAAACTCGCACCTCTTGTTTCACAAAGGCATATTACTTCTCTTTGTTGTAATCCCTTGCCAGGCCCAGCCATACATTGCTGCTGCCAGTATTGGAAGGACTTGCATGCTATTAGAGCTGAGTCTCCCCTGGAACAACCATCTGGACTCCAGGTTACCTTACACTTTTGTTTTTGTTAGTCTACTCTAGTTAGACTTCAACTTCATTTGTGAGTTTGCAGATCATCTAGTGTAGAGAACATTGCATAACTCATTTTGGGATATATTCACATGTCCCCTCTCCACTTCCCATACAGTTCATTCATCTACTATCATTATTTCGTCCGAAATTACCATGTCCTCATCAGTCTTGCTTCCCACATTCCCCAAACCCAATGCAACCAACTACAACACTTGGAAACAGGACATGACTGCCTGGTTCCGTGCTGCTGGTTTGTGGCGCATTGTTGATGGGAAGCAATCTGCACCTGTCCTTGCTTCTCCTGCCACTGGAGCAGATTTGATTGCAGAAGACACATGGTTGATCAAGGTGGATCGTGCTGCTGGTGCTTTAGCTCTCTCTGTTGAGGAAGAGCAGTACATTCACTTTGATGGTATTGATGATGATCCTGTCAAGATGTGGAAGGCTTTGCAAGATGTGTTTGTCCAAAGACGTTCTGGTACCTGCTTTGATGCCTATGACAACCTCTTCTCTATCCAGAAGAAGGAGAGTGAGTCCTTGCAGTCTCTCATGAATCGTGTTGACGAAGCTATCCACCGTATCAAGGAGCTTCATGACAAAGATTTCACTCTTGCCAAGCTTGATGATGAGTTGAACTGCATGGCACTCATTTGTGCCCTTCCAGAGGAGTACCAACCTTTTGTCTCCTCACTTCATCTGATGAAAAAGCTGGACAAGGATGCTGTCAAGCTTGCCTTTGTCGCTGAGAAAAGTCATCATAATCACCGTGCTGCTACTGCTGCTGCAGTTGGTACAGCACTTTCTGCCTCTACTTCTTTGCCCTCTCATCCTGTTCATTGCACTTTCTGTGGCCAGACTGGTCACGTCATCAAAAAGTGCTATGCCTATGCAGATGCATCTGCTAAGGCCAAGGACAGAGCAAAGAACAAGGGCAAAACAAAGGCAAACAAGGCCCAGGAGGTTCCAGATGACAAGAAGGAAGTTGTTGAATTTGCTGGAAATGCAAGTGTTCTTTCAACTTTTGATCCTTCCAATCCATCTACCCCATTGCAAATGGATGCTGACTTTGATTGGGTTGCAGACACAGGGGCCACTTCTCATATGACCTCTCATCATCACTGGATATGCAATTATGCTTCCCTTTGCATCCCAGTCAAGTTAGCTGACAACAGCATTATTTATTCTGCTGGGGTGGGTACTGTGGTTTTCAACCCAGTTGTAAATGGAAAGAAGGTTCGATCTGTAGAATTAACTCATGTCTTGCATGTACCCCAACTCCAAAATAATTTATTGGCCTGTCTCTATCTCACACGTCACAAGGGCTTTGATATTCATATTGGCAGAACTCATATGAATTTCAAGCGCAATGGACAGATCTTGTTCCAAGCACCCATTCTGTCCAATAACAGTGCCCAGTTGAATGGAGTCACAGAGCCTATTGAGGAGTCAGCAATCACATCTCCACTCTTCTCCTTGATCTCAATCTCTGGCATCGTTGTTTTGCACATCACAGTTACAAAGATGTCAAAAAGATGATCCAAGAGGGCAGTACTTTGTGGTCCCCCACAGAGTACTATAGGACTCCACTAGACTCCAGTGGAGTTGGCATATTATCCAGTGGAGTCCAGTGGAGTCCAGTGGAATTATACTGGAGTTCAGTGGACTCCAGTAAGAAAGTATACTGGACTCTACTGGAGTGTAATACTGGAGTCTTACTGGAGTCTTACTGGACTACTACCCAGTACCTGTTACACATCAGAATAGATAATAGTCTGTTGAGCAATTGCCCAAGTCCAGCATATAGAATATGTAATAAGATTCTTAATAATTATTCTTTTTAGAAAAAAGCATCAAGATTTGTAGAGCACCTTTGGTTGACCCTGAATCAAGGTATTTGATGTCATCAGCTGCTCTGCTTGGCAAGAAAAATGCAAAATACTGAAAAAGTAGATTACTTTTGCAAATTTTAGCATTATTTGGCTTATATCTTGTTATCAATAGAGCCAAATACCATCACTCAAGGGGATTCAGAATCATCATTTATTGCTATTATTTTCTCCTAAAAAGAAATTTTCTCATAGTCATGTGACCTGCATATTTCATATTGTTAGCACCTCTAGTCCCTGTATAGATAGTGCACATTTTGGCAAAATCCAATTTGTCACATGTGACTCTGATATTGATATCATCAGCAAACTTGATAGCATTGAGGGTTCCCCAGATGCCACCAAGGAGATTGTTCTTGTCTGCCATGCTTGGAAGTATGCCAACAGCAATGCTTCTCTTGGCCTTCCTCCTCTCGTAATCACTCCCGATATATTTAACTACTACTAACATCCATATACGTGCAACAGATAAAGGCCTGTGGATCTCAGGCTCAGGATGAAATCAAGACCAAACTTGCACCTCTTGTCAAAGCTTTCTTTGGATTTGACACAGGCTGCAGCTGCCAGATTATTGCTGGGAATCATCAAATTGCAGAGGAGTTGAAGGAGAATAAGGGTTACACTTATCACATGCATTTCATCTCTGCTCTTGTTATTCCCACATTCTGATGAGTGCACAGGAGATCAAGGATGGTGTTCACAAAGGAATCTGCCAGCACCCTATCATCCAAAAAGCAATCAACACTGTCTGGTTCAAAAATAAACATGATGAAGGTGTCATCTATCCTGAACTGTTCAACCCCATCCTGGTCAACACTATTGCTCTGATTCTGACAGCAGCAAGTGTATTCTTTTGTCCTGCATTGCTGAAAGACTTATGCTTTTATTGCAGATCGAGAGGTCTTTATACTCCTCTATGTATCTCTATAGGACTCCAGTGGACTCCAGTGGAGTCTGGTAGAAATCTATTAGCAGGAACACCAGCCAAAAGTGCTTACTGGACTCCAGTAGAGTTTACTGGAGTGTATTGAAGTGGAGTATCCATCTTCTACTGGACTCCTATAGGACTTCAGTGGAGTCCAGTGAACAATGCAGAGAAATGTCATAGTCATAGAAGAGAAATGTGACTGATGCCAAGATTGATGGCCAGTCATGTGACTTCTTTATTTGCCTATTCCTTCAGGGTCAGCTTCTGAAACTTTGTGTCACGACCCATTCCATGCCGAAGACATCCGAGAGACATCCGTTCATAGCCATTTCGGTTCTTTGATTATATTGTTCTTTTGTTTGTTATTGGTCTTTGATTTTCCTAGCGTACACATGCCTCATTATTCTATTGTCATTAGCGTACACGTTCTCTCCACAAGTTAGACAGCCAACAGCTCATTGTCATAGGTAGTCCATTATTCGTTGTAGTATTTAAGGGACTGCCAGACTCGGTCGTCCTGCAGTCTGAATATCATACTCGACTTCTAATCTCCTCCTCTCGTTCTCATCTGTTCTCATCCGCTTGCATCCGTTCGACATCCAACACTGGCCTAAAAGCCTATACTCTGAAATCGGACTTAGACTATCTCGAGGGCGCAACGCACGAACGTTGAAGCCAAAGTCCACATCCAAAATCTCTTCCAAAGCACATCCGAATGCACCCGGTCTCCAGCACACCTCAGCTCAGCACAGGTCATAACACTTTGATGTTATGGCCTCAAATAGAAACAATTAATAAATATATGATTGCCAGGCCCAGACTTGACATTGATAAAAAGTAATAAAGCTATCAAGTTTGCTGATGATATCAATATCAGAGTCACATGTGACAAATTGGATTTTGCCAAAATGTGCACTATCTATACAGGGACTAGAGGTGCTAACAATATGAAATATGCAGGTCACATGACTATGAGAAAATTTCTTTTTAGGAGAAAATAATAGCAATAAATGATGATTCTGAATCCCCTTGAGTGATGGTATTTGGCTCTATTGATAACAAGATATAAGCCAAATAATGCTAAAATTTGCAAAAGTAATCTACTTTTTCAGTATTTTGCATTTTTCTTGCCAAGCAGAGCAGCTGATGACATCAAATACCTTGATTCAGGGTCAACCAAAGGTGCTCTACAAATCTTGATGCTTTTTTCTAAAAAGAATAATTATTAAGAATCTTATTACATATTCTATATGCTGGACTTGGGCAATTGCTCAACAGACTATTATCTATTCTGATGTGTAACAGGTACTGGGTAGTAGTCCAGTAAGACTCCAGTAAGACTCCAGTATTACACTCCAGTAGAGTCCAGTATACTTTCTTACTGGAGTCCACTGAACTCCAGTATAATTCCACTGGACTCCACTGGACTCCACTGGATAATATGCCAACTCCACTGGAGTCTAGTGGAGTCCTATAGTACTCTGTGGGGGACCACAAAGTACTGCAGCAGAGGATGAGGTGGTGGTGGTGGTGGTGGTGGTGGTGGTGGTGGGGCAACAAGGGCAGGCAGCAGTATGAAAACCAGCACAAACAACCCTGAACAGTGAAGTTTAAGACTGTTCATACACCAGGGGCATTGTTGAACAGCCATAGAGGTGTTGGATAGACAATGAGAAGGGTGAGTAGAGTGAGGTGGGACGACATGGATAGGCAGCAGCATGAAACCAAATGTGAACAGCTCCAAACAGTGAAGTTAGAGATCATTCATGCACTGGGGACATTGTTGGATGGCCCTGGAGGTATTAGAAGAGTGAGAAGAGGCAGTGGTGGGCAAGAAGGGCAAGCAGAACAAGGTGGGGCAACATGGGTGGATGGCAGTGTGAAACCAAACATGAACAACCCCAAACAGCAAAGTTAGGGGCTGTTCAGGCACCAGGGGCATGGTATTAGATGGGCAAGAGAGGTGGCAGAGGGTGAGGAAGGCAAGCAGGATGAGGTGCTGGTGGTGGGTGAGAGGAGTGGGTGGCAGGGGCAGCACAAGCGCAAATGGCACTGAACTGTGAAGTCTAGGATCATTTGTGCACCAGGGCTGTTATTGGATAGTGCTGGGGGTTATTATGTTAGAAGGGCAAGAGAGGGCTGCAGTGGGTGAGGGAGGTGGTGATTTGAAGAGGGCAAGAAGGGCATTACTACAATAGTCAGTAAAAATGTAGTGAACTATTCAAAATGTGGCTATTCCGTCAGTGTAATACTTACTGTAGAAAAAAAAGCATGAATGACTATAATGTGGAAAAGTAAAATGATCTCTGCATCCCAGGTTGAAAGAACGAGTCTTGCTTATGTAAGAACTTGTAATGCCTTGAGGATATGCATCCACTGCGCAGGAACATAGATATCAAGATCTTGAGGGATAAATATGCCATGAAAGAAGACAAAAAGAGCATAAGAGCCAGAGATTATAGCATGGCTAATACCCATGACTGCAAGGAGAATGTTGAGAGGTCTCAGAAGATAGCTTGCTGCTATTTCTTCAACTGTAATGTGCAAATCCTGCTGAATGGCATCAAAGGCAGGATTTCCTGCTCTGTCCTCATCATTGCTATACACTTCACATAGGGCTTCTATAAACATCTGTGAGCATTTGAATAGTGACTTTATATGGGAGACTCACCACTGTTTGGCAACATTTCTCAATGTGTTGGCAAGAGGTAGAAAACAACTTGACAATCATCTATTGGGTCTTTCACAAGAAGTATTTCTAATGTCAGCTTCTCCATTTGGCTGAATTAATCTCCACTCATGGCCTGGATGTTGATTTTCATTCAAATATACAACTCCTCCAACCATATCCAATTAAAGCCCTTCTATATTCTACTCAATTCTCATCCGCTGAATCTTACTCTCTATCTCCTTGACCTCCTCTTGACATCCTACTTTCTGTTTAAGCATAGCTGACATTGGACCGCTTTGCAGACTGTCTCCACTTTGATGAGCGCGATCCTGCCCAGGATAGGTGCCTATACCTTGACAAGCTCATTGTGAATGCAAGGGCCGACCCTTTAACAGTACTGGCTGTGGCTAATGGCTCCATCCCTCAGTCAAACCAGTATTAGATGACTTCGGCCACTATCATCTACAAGGGACATTGTGAGCTCAATAGGACTCGCTATGTCTCTGGCAGAGTTACCGCTTCAGATGTGGAACTCAATGCTATTGCATGTGCAGTGCGCCTTGCTGTTAAGCAGGCAAACTGTCAGCATATCATGGTTTTTACTGACTCTATGGGCTTAGCCCACAGAGTGGTAGACCCCTCCATGCATTCTGGTCAGGCTTTTAGTCTATCAGTATGTCACGCTCTCCAGGGGTGGTTCAAGGCAGATGATCTCCACTGCATCACCTTTGTTTAGGTTCCATCCACTTTGCACTGGGATATCCATGGTGAGGTGCACAAATATGTCACCAAACTTAAAGTCAGGGTTGGGTGTCGCAAGATGCACTTCTATAAGCAAGGTAAATACATCAAACACTGTTAGTTAACAAGGTATCCTCTTATATCAGGACTGTGG